CCAGTAAAGCACATTTAAATGAAAATTACTCTTAATTAAAAACACTTATCATTTATTGAACAGTATGCAATAATTTCATATTTAAAGTCCTTTACGTTAGACAGCATGATTATTTACTATCAAGATCTGGTTTGTTTCTTACTTATTTCAAATATCTGGATGCTGTGGTCGTTTATTTTCCTGTTAGGGCGCCTATCCGTTATGGCCACCCTACATTGGTCACCCCTTATGGAAACTGTCTGCTCCAACACTGGTGGAGAGCGGCTCATGTCTGCGTTTTCTGGTTTGCACCATGAACCCAAATTAATAAAACAAGCCGCTCTGACACTTTAGATCAGGGGTCACCAACCATTTCAAGGCTGAGGGTTACTTCATGGCTACTGAATCATAGGAAGGGCTACCAATACTGACCTATGAACGAGAGGGGTCAACGTTCACCTAAACTTCATCCAAATTAAACACATTTCTATTGTTAACTTTTAATTTCTAATTTTCCTTTAAATATTATAATTTTTAGTAGGGCGACAGTGCCGTTGGATGTAGGAGTTTGCCCTGAATTCGAAGGGTTGACGGTTCAAGCCTCGACTCCGACTTTCAGTGTCGTTGTGTCCTTGGGCAAGACACTTCACCTGCAATGTCTACTGATGGTGGTCAGAGGGCCCCGTGGCGCCAGTGTACGGCAGCCCCGCTTCTGTCAGTGAGCCCCAGGGCAGCTGTGGCTACAATGAGGCTTGCCACCATCAGTGTGTGAATGGGTGAATGAATGTAGTGTAAAGCGCTTTGGTCAAGTCTCCTGGCTTGAATAAAGTACATGCCATCTACCATTTACCATTTAAAATCTCTATGAATGCTAAAATGCCCTATATGATTACTATGATGAAATGCTCTATAAATGATTAAAAAGAAGAGTAACAGAATAAAATAAAATTTCAAACTTAGCAACCGCTGAGTTGCTGTTTTGAGAAGGCGTTGAGGGCACCCCATGTGGTCCTTGAGGGCCCCTTGGCCCCTTTAGATCTTATGGAAGGTTTCAGTTGAAGCCCAACATCAGCACTCATTTTAACAAGAAGAAGTCAGGTTTCTGGGTGATGACTCCTTTAAAATGTAGGGAATCCAGGAGTGTTCTTTCTTTGTTACTGTTAATATTCTGACCCTTACCCAACAAATAAATATCATGTATGGCGAGATATTAGAGAGCAAGTTTACAAATGGTTGGACTGGTATTACCAGCGTGCTCCGGTTTCTCCAGTATTTAATGAACATTGCTATTTTCATATTTCCATTTTAACCACGGAGGATTGTTCAAATATGGGGGAGTTAAATTGAAGCTCTGCTGAGTGGCACCTGCACTGTTCTTCGCTGAAAGCCTCTTACGGTGCCGGTGGATTGGTTTTAGCCTGAGCTGGGGTTCTCCCCTCCCTGGCACCTGCCTCCATTCTTGCCAGAACCGTGATGGAAACTGACAGGAGTTTGGCAGGAGCGACTCTTTGCTGAGCAGCGATAACTTCATTTCAGGGGGAAATTGACCATATTGAAGTCGCTGAAACCAAAGTGATGCAAAGTTGTGCATGTTTACTTTTCCCGCTGCATAGTTATAAAAGCGTTTTTGTATATTTAAACGACTGTACGGTCATCCAGCTTTTGCTGACTTTTATAACAAAACGGGATCAATAATCTCCACTGTGGCCAGAATCAATTTTAGGGTTTATACTGAGGGCCTCATTTGCCAAGGAGAGGTTTAGATGTTTAATTTGTTTACGGTCATAACAGTGAGACGTGATCACGGCAGGATTTTAGCTCGAAGATTCGGAAAAAAAATTACATGCAAAAGAATTCTGACAGCTATGAAGGAGTTAGAGACCTGTTTGTCCCTTTAGGCGTTGTTTTTCTAAAGAAAATGCTGGTACACGTTGGGTGACAATGTTTTAATGCATTTACATCCTCAATATAACAGGTTCCCTATTACTGTATCTCCTCACAGCAAAGGAGAATGAATAGAAGATGGAGAGCTTGCTGTCAGAATCCCGCCTTTTGCAGAAAGGAAACTGTTTCTATTGTTTAAAGCTCCCTCAAATCAACTAATGATTTTCTTTTGCTCTACTTTACTTTTTTCTTCAATCTTAGCTTGAAAATAATATGTAGTCAAAGCTCTAAACAAATTCTGAGATTTGTGCTTCTCCATCCGTCTGACTTCTTTGATGCA